CCGTGTGCGCAGGCGCGGTCTCTCTCTGGGAGCTACGCATGCGCGTGGACCGACCTCCTTCCTGCTGCGGTGAAGGGACCCGCCCACCTGTGTGACTAGGAAACTGGAGCCACATCAGCTCTTGGGTTCGAGGCCGCTGTCTCCGAATGATTCATCTTTCATTATAAAAGTAATACTTGCTTTGGGCAGAAAGGTCAAACTTACAAATATAAAGTACTACACTAAAAAAGTTTTTAAAAAATCACTTCAATGGCTCACAGACCTAAACGTAAGAGCTCACACTATAAACTTCTTACAGAAAAGCATGTGGGTAAATATTCGTGATCTTGGAGTGGGCAATGATTACTTAGATATGACACCAAATGCACAAGCAACTACAGAAAAGCTTAATTGGACTTAATCAAATGAAACACTTTTATGCTTCAAAAGACACCACCAAGAAAGTAAAAAGAGCAGAATAGGAAAAATATTTATAATTCATGAATCTGATGAGGGAATTATATCCAGATTAATTTTTTTAAACTCTTACAACTAAACAATAAAAAGACAAGTAACCAATTGAAAATATGAAAAGGAAGTGAACTGATATTTCTCCAAAGAACATAGACAAAATGCCAATAAGCACCTGAAAAGATACTCAACATCATTCTCATTAGGATAATGTAAATCAAAACCAAAAAAGAGATGCCACATCACACCCACTAGGATAACTATAATCAAAAAGACAAAATAACAAGTGTTGGCAAGGAGGTGGAGAAATTAGAATCTTTACCCATTGCTGGAAGGTATGAAAAATGGTGCAGCTACTGTGAAAAACAGTCCGGCAGTTTCTCAAAAGGTATAGAGTTCCCATACAACCGAACTATTCCATTCCTAGGTATATACCCAAGAGAAATAAAAACATAATTCCACACAAAAACTTGCATGTTCATAGCAACATTATTCATAATAGCAAAAAACTGCAAAGAAGCCAAATGTTCACCAATTGATGAGTGGGTGAATAAAATTTGGTATAAGTTCTTTATACAAAGGAATAGTATTCAGTCATAAAAAGGAATGATGTACTGACACATGAATGAACTTTGAAAAAATACGTAGTGTATGATTTCATTTATATAAATGTCCAGAATAGGCAAATTCATAGAGGCAGGACACAGATTAGGTTGTCTAGGGCTGGGGTAGTTGGAGGTGTGTGACTGCTAATAGATATAGGGTTTCTTTGAGGGTGATAAATGTTCTAAATTTATGGAAATGGTTGCACAACTCTATGAATATACTAAAACCCACTCAATTGCACACTTTATTTCTCTCCAAATCAATACATGGCTTTTATTTTATTTTAAAATATCACAAGTAAGACCTGGCTGGTGTGCTCAGTGGTTAGAGCATTGGCCCGTGCACCAAATGGTCTCAGGTTGGATTCCCAGTCAAGGACACGTACGTATGTGGGTTGCAGGTTTGATCCCCATCCCCGGTCAGGGCTCATGGGAGAGACAACCAATTGATGTGTCTCTCTCACTTTGATGTTTCTCTCTCTCCCTCTTCCTCTCCCTCCCTTCCACTCTCTCTAAAAATCAATAGAAAAAATATCTTCAATGAGTATTAACAAAATATATATATTTATATATATATAATATCACAAGTAATATCACAAAATATATATATGTGTGTATATATATATATATCACAAGTAAATCTGAGGAATCATCTGACATCTTGCTGTTTCTGTAGCTGGACAACTTAGATCTCATTCATCAGGCTGCTGTACCGTTCCTTTTTCAGAAACATAGATACCATCTAAAATTTTTCTGATATCCTTGGTTTTAACTGTTGTGGCCTGCTGAATCAAAGCAGCTGAATTTGATACAAGTTCAATGTCATTTCCTTCAAGAATTAACTCATCTTTAAAAAAATAATTAACTCATCTTTCTGGACTTGAGATACTGAATCAGCAACACCTGACCTCATCCGAACCTTGTGGATGTATTTTTCACCCAAGAACTTTCTGATTTCAACAGAAGAACCATTCTCCTGAACAACAGCATTGATGGGGAAGTGAGTACACAGGCCTCATCCTGTACCGGAAGCTCCGTGTAACACCCTGATCATGTTCTGTACGTGACTGCAGGTCGTGTGCACGGTAGCCAGTTCCCTTCTATTTCCCCGCCATTTGTCAACATGGAGCCACTTTTTTTTCTTTCCGGGGAGACTGAGCTCTGTACCGATGTGATTGAAGTCCGTCCGCAGGGTGCCTGCGAGGCCCTCCGCAATCACTGTGCGGCCCTGCAGGGCGACGTCCACATTGTCTGGGATGGCAACAGTCTGACTGCTGAGAATGGTCTTCATCCTCGCAAGTAGATTGACAAAAAATACAAAAAACAAAAAAGAATTGAATTGCACACTTTAAATGGCTGCAAAGTATATCTCACAAATTATATCTCAATACGTACAGCTGTTTTTAAAATCACCCCACCCACCCCATCCCAGTCTTCCCCAGGAGGTGACTGTAGTTAACCGTCTACTGTGGCTATTTCCAAATCTTTCTCAAGCATTTCAAATGCACGAGGGTATAATCACTTGACTAAGGGATTGCTGAAGTAACCTCTTGCATTGAAGCTGATACAACATGTATTTTGCAAGGCAGATTCATGGCTTGAATCTCCCAGGGTGAAAGGTACATGCATTTGAACTGCCTCAGACATTACCAACCAACTCATTGCCCTACACAAGGCTGCATAGCATTCATAGCATTAACTTATTTTTTTTTCCAAAATTCCCAAAAAGGAAAATGGTGTATTATTCTATATTGCATTTCTTTTTTTATATATATTTTTATTAATTTCAGAGAGGACGGAAGAGAGAGATAGAAACATCAATATAGAGAGAGAACCATTGATCGGTTGCCTCCTGTATGCCCCACAATGGGGATCAAGCCTGCAACATGGGCATGTGCCCTGACCGGAAATTGAACTGTGACCTCCTGGTTCATAGGTCAATGCTCAACCACTGAGCCACCCTGGCCAAGTGTTGTTGCATTTCTTTAATTATTACTGAGGTGGAGAACTGTATCACTTGATTATTTGCCAGTATCTCTGACATGCCTTCCTTTTTTCCTTATGGATTCTTTATTCTT